TGGTTATCTTTTTTATTGAGGGTGGCCAGAATGGGTGGGGCAGGTGGGAAGGAGGAGGGCTTGATTTGGGGATCTTGGCTAGAAGAATGGATTTATTTTTCCTTTAAAGCATTAAACATTGTGTATACCCATTGTACATATCTAAAAATGGACTGCACTAGGGAAACAGATCCTTGCCAAAGACATTAGCTTATATTGATATAATATTGTGAATGAGCTGTTTATATAAGAACTTATAAAATACTATAAAATGGTAGTAACACATGCATAAAAGCTTGGTGTTTGCTTTTATATAAGAGAATTTGTTTTATGGGGCACCATAGTTTATTAAAACTTGTGTGCTTCTTCCTGGTTTAATGATGCCAAATATCCAAATAGCATTTGCTGTGCTAAACATAAGTAGAGCATACAAATTTTATTAGCCAAGTGATGAACAAATTTGTCCAACTTTGTATTTGAAACATAGTTCTGCTGTTATGCTTTGGATTGATAAATAACTAACAGATTGTACAGATATTAACACGTATGTGTAGAAACAATTATCCAATTTGTCTTCACAAAAAATGATTCTTTCCTATAATTTGTATCATGTTTCTTATGTTTCATGGTTTAGATGTTGAAACATTTGTAGCAGATATACTGAGAGGGGAGAATTTATCCAAGAAAGCAAAGGAAAAGAGAGAATCCCTTATTAAGAAGATGAAAGATGTAAAGTCTATGTAAGTCACTTGCCTTTTGTTACTAATTTCTTACTTAGAAGCAACTGTGTAATTAACATTTTAATAAGGAATTGATTATCATGGAGTTAAGTTTTTTATGTTCTAATTATTGTCAAGTATTTTAAAGGACAAAAATATGTTTCTACTATAATAGTTTTTAAACACAGACATATTTATCATAATATGCTTTCTTGTGAAGGTTCTTGATTATGTATTTATCTAAGCATTCTAGCAAAATCTAACTGTTTATTTTGATCGGTATATTTGGTTTAAATGATAAGACATAGGTAGCTTGAGGATTTTAATATAAATATGGAAAATACCTCAGACAATGAAAAAGAGAATCCTTTTAATTATTACTACTTTAAATGAATAAATATAATGTGTGTTCTAGGTATTAAAAATATGTCCTCATTTTGCTATTGTACTTAGATCTTTAAAAATAATTTTATTATAAATTCCTAAGCATTTGGAATTGTCATTTCAGGGCAGGAAATAGTTTTTCCTCTAGATGTATATTTATAATACAGATTTTGTATTTGAAATATTGCCAGTAATTAGACCTTGTTTTGATATTTCAACCTCATTTTAAAATATAATGTTCTTTATTTTGCAGCTATCTTCAGGAATTTCAAGACAAAGGTAAATATTCAAGTTTGTCAAACTTGAAATTTCTTTTCCTCTGTGAAGATTTTGAATAAAATAATCCCACACATAACTGAAATTTGATATTTGTAATCAAAATTTAAATTTCCGTATCGTATACTTAGACTTTCAAGATGAGAGTGCTAGCTCCCCCTGCTGAGAAAAAAATTAAAAAGCATATCCAGAATCTACTCTGCACAGTCTTCTGACACAGAAATCTTACGTATTTAACATTCCTGGGTTGTGTTTCTTAGAGTACATCGTGGCAGACATTTTTTAGGAAAGGCATATACCTGCAGTTACACGTGGAATAAATCAGTGAAGCAGAGGTGAGGTATTAACCTGATGCCTTTAACACTGCAGAGATCATTTTATAGTAGTGACGGGAGCAGGAGGGCCTATGGCTGAATGCTCATGGGTAATGTTTTAAAAAACATTATACATTTTTGTTTGAGAACATGAATAAAATCTTTTTCAAATGCTGGTTTTTGTTTTCGTCATGGTTCTTTTGAAATGAATAAATGCGTACCATAGGAATTTGTAAAGAAGGGAATTCAGGTTCATTTTTTGGAAATATGTTGAGAGTGCTGAAAACCTGATTGTCTTCCTTTAGATTTGAGAGATAGCTGCTTAGCATACTGAAAACCAGATCAAGAAAGGTGTAGGAAGTTCCTACATTTCATGTCTTCAGTTCTGTAAGGGAAACTGGGTACGGCCCTTACTTCCATGATGCTGATTCATAGGTCATGACCTACAGCTTGTGGATACTGGTGTGAGGGTCACAGTATGGTGGCAGTTAACCTATATGGAGCCAGATTCCGAGTTTGAGGAATACATAGTGTGGCATCTTCTAACTGAGGTTAGCAGATCCCACAGAGCAATTCATATTTGTGCCAATAGATAATTGAGAGGGTAATGATGGTTTCATTAAACCAGTTATTTAACCAGACAAACTTAAAATCAGTTAAGAGGAAGGCTCAGTTTCTTTTCACATTAAATAGTTAAGATTGGTGTGATTGAAAGGGATGAGAAGAGAGATTTTTTCCGTATTAAGATTTTTAACACTTAAAGAGTGGGAAACTCCTCCTCCCCTCAAGAACCTACTTTTTTGTGCTCTACAATAAATCCTAAACTATGGTTTAATCATATTGCATTTTGCTTATTGAGTATATAAATGAATTTGTGCATTTTAGTTATAATTTTTATTATATAGTACGTTATTTGTGAAGTAATACTAGATATCAGATTCTGCTTCTCTTCTTAAAAGGCATATTTTGTTCCAGTGATTACTTATTAAACTTGCATTGTGGCTTAATTATTTGTACATTTAAAATTTTAAGCTAAGAAACACAATAATATGAAGTCATTGTATAATTGCATATAGTTCAGTAATATTAATAGTAAAGGATCTTTCCCTTTGGTATTCTGCTTTAGAACTTGTTCAGGTGTGTGGATATTAAAATTACATTACTGAGATAATATATTCTTTGTCTCCAAAGAGAATGGAAGTTTATATAGTATTTTATAGAAATTGAAAAAGGAGCCTAAAATAAGAGTTCAAATAAGGAATTCAGAGATTCCCCATAATGATTTTCCCTCTGAATAAGTCATTTGTAATTCAGTCCTGCTGTATGGAGTTAACCGATTACCAAGAGTGCCTGTTCAAAAGTAAGCCTGTAGATAAATTAGGTGTATACCTTGGAGAAATATGAGAAGTTGAGTAATCTTATGCCATTGTACCCTCAAAGTATATTCAGCTTTGTTCTAAAAAGACTATTCCTATAGTTTGTTAGGCGTAGTAAAGGGTGCAGACTTACTAGCTGCAAAGTAATTATTCAAGATACAGTCCATCTCTTTTTAAAAATAGGAACTTATTATCAGATCTCTACATTGAGTAAATTCGATTCTAAGTATGTTTTGATAGTGCTGCTTTCCTCCCCCGTTACCATTTTCCCCTTGAGGTTTTGGATTGTCCTCACCTAAGGCATCTAAGGCGATCTGGGCAGAATTCCTTTTGGCTATTTTCCTGTTCTTTCTTTTCTTGCTTTTCTCTCTCTCTCTCTCTCTCTCATATCAATGTACGGTCACAATGAAGTGAATAGAAGCTATTTTCTTCCTTTTTACCTTTACACAACTATTTGATTTACATAGTTTATTTTTTTTAATGACAGCTAAATACCATTTTAATATCATTATCAGGAGAAAAAAGGACCAGGTAGAGAGTTCTTAAATAAAATGAGTTAATTCAGATTTATTCATTTCTAATAAGTCAGCTATTAATTTCTCTAATGTACACAGGTGTCTATCATCCTTCCTTACTTCCCATATCCTCCCCTCTACATTCTAATCTCCCATCCTGAGATTTAACAATGCAGAATTTACACTTTGAGGTATTTCAGTTCTTAAAATTAATTGAATTGGAACACTAAGCTACATAGATCTTAGAAGACTTATTTTTATTTTCTTTTTTGGGGGAGTAAGAAATGTTTATATTGG